CTTCTTCTTCTTCTTCTTCTTCTTCTTCTTCTTCTTCTTCTTCTTCTCCTTCTTCTTCTCCTTCATTCTTCTTCTCTCTCTTTCTCTCTTTCTCTCTATCCTCTCTCTTTCTGACTCACGGTTGTCTCAACATATAAGCTTTCCACTACTGCTTTAGCATCATCCCTGTCTACCTGCTGCCGTGCTCCCCACCATGATAGTCATGAGCTCTAACAGTCTGAAACTGTAAGGCTCAAATTAAATGCGTTTTTTATAAGTTTTCTTGGTTGTAATATCTTAACACAGCAAGAGGAAAATAACAATTTGGAGCAGCTTCCATGTAACTGTCAGCTTCCTATGCAATCTGAGCAGAGAAGATGTCTCCATAGGACAGAAAATAAATACAAAATGTAATTTTAAGAGAGATTAAGTATCTTGGAATTTTAAAACTGTTTTGATATTTGTGTGTCAAAAGATATCACAGAAAAAAATCTTAAAGCATGAGTAATACACTTAAGGGAGATACATATAATGTGAACAACAGAAGTTTAAAATCCCTGACATTTTAAAGGTTCTCATAAATTGACAAGAAAAGTAAAGCCTCATATATGTGTAATATATTATATATATATTCTTTTACCTATCACTTGCAGAATTATGAAATGTTATTCTGATGACAATATAAATGTATCCCACAGGGAAAAGTAACATGCGCATAATAAGATGTTTATCACATCATCATTTCTAACTGAAAATTGTCCCATTAGGTAAGAGGTTAGTTGACCAAGGTTATGGTATTCACACCAGGGATTCTTAGGCCATCACCAGGAGCAATTAACTAAAGCTGTGTGTCTAGCTTTACCTGAATGAAGGAGAAAAGTACAGTAGGGTTATTAACATTGACTACAGGCAGGGAAGATAAGAAAGAAAAGAAAAGAAAATGAAGATAAGGGCAAAAAGGAAAGGGACAAAATTTTCACATCCTCAAAGCACATATGAAATTGCATTTTGTCTTCTTGGAAAACTATAAATATACATATGAAACAAAATAAACATTTCGAAGTACATTTTTTTTGTTGTTCAAACCTCTATAACTAAAGACTCAGTTTAATCAATTCTCAGAAACTTTGGTTCAAAATAGTGAGATATTATTTCAGTTAATTAAACCTAACAATGGTTTGGATGGAATTTCACAATATAAAGTGTAGGAGATTCTTAAGAATGTTATTGTTTATCTGTGCTAGGGGATTTGTGTAGTACTGTGAATCTCCAAATTCAAAGTCTGTTAGGACTACCAGAGGGCTTGTGAGAGACTCCCAGACTATCAGGCTCCACCCCTGGAGATTCAGCAGGTCTGGGAAGGAATCAAGAATTTGCATTTCTAACAAGTTCCCAGGGAAGGCAGATGTTGTGGATCCCAGAAGCATGCTTGGCAAACCAATGGACTAAAGCAAGCTAATGTCTAAATGAGGAAAAATGGCCCACAAGATTCCTCCCGCCCCAACCACAGCTGTACTCACATTTAAGCCTGCTTTCTTCCAATAATAGTTGCTATATTGGTTAATCATGCACTTTGTTTTTTCCTTAAACTTTTCTTCTGAGTCCACAGACCACCAAGGATCAAGGTTTCCATTTTTATCATATTTTCTGCCTAACAAAAAGGAAAGTATCGTGAAAGCTGTGTTACTTTATACAAGCTGAAATCATCATCTTTCCTTTCCCTCACCTCGACACACTTTCCAAACCAGTCGTGACAGCCTGGGACTCTGTCCCTGAGATTAGCTCCTACGTCATCTCCAATGTCATAGAATAATTTAATTGTAAAAAACAGGGAAAGGAGGCGAAGAACTGAGGGAAATCTTTCCTTGAAACAAACAAAGGGCATTTTAAAAATGAAATTAATCAGTTTTAACACGTGCACCAGTCTTATCCAATCTTGTGTTCCTTTGTATCTTGTATGTCCTTTGACCTGAAACATTCACTGGCAAGCAAAATTAGTTTCCTTTATTTAAAAAGCAGAGGAAACTGAAGTACCACTACCAGTGAAATTCCAAATAACCAATAAGAACAGCCCTAGTGAGTCATCCAAACCATAGGATAACAGAACCTGACTCAGCTCTATAGCAACCTGCTTCCTTTATGTTGCCAAGAGCCAAGAGACACATAAACCCTCTGTTATGAATCATTCCACAGTCATCAGTGTGGATAGAAGGCCCATATGTCTTGTGTGGATGAGGATTGCTGATCTAAAAAGAAAACTTGGAACAGGGATGGAAATCTCCATAATGTAACTGGTGGATGGGGGAGATTAGTTTTTCTTGCTACATGGTCTCTTTTTATTCATCTTCTCTACTACACCCTTCAAAACAATGATTTGGGTGTAAATCTATTTTCAAGGATATTGCTAGAATCAAAGGTATGGTCTGAATTTAATTACACAGAAAATTCCCTACATAAGAGTCTCCAAAGGAAAAGAAAAAAAAAAAAAAAACCTTACATGAAAGGCCCCCTAAGCGGAAGCATTCACTGGAACAGTCCAAAACACTTCAACAAGGCTGCTTGATACTAACACTATTCCCCAGGAATGGATTTGCTGTCCTCCACACACCAACACATCAGTCATCAGTTACTGGGCTTGTATTCATATTTGCAATACATTTTTATAGGATGAAATTGCCATCATTAGATTATATCCTGTTGGAGAGACCCCAGAAGAAAGGTCCAGAACCAATTGAGCACCACATGCCTTTGTTTCTTAGTTAAGAATTTTCTCTTAGATAAACTAAATATTCAATGACAAAAATGCAGGCTCTGAGAACTCAAGTGTTTACAAGGAAGCTACATTTTAACAGGAAGGGGGAGACCAGAGGAGTAAGGGATGGTGAGACAAGAAAGGTATTAAGAAAGAGTTGGTAAGATGTAAGAATTATTTAGAAGAAAAAGAAGCCAATTTGTCTCTTGTCCCAGAATAAGCATCCAGGAAAGGATGTTGGAGACAATACACTGCCTTAGGCCTGCTAGGCTCTTAAGGCTGTCTACAAATCATTGTGTTGGTCTGAATAGTATTTCAGAAAAAAAGGAGGAAGGAAGAGAGATAGAAAGACTGTTTAATTACACTATGAAAGTAAAAAGAACAAAATGATAATTTTAAAATAACTTTTGACTCCGTGCCTCAGCAGGTAAAGTCACGTATCACCAAACCTGGTGACATGATTTCAATACCCTGGATACACATGGGAAGGCTCTTGATCTACACACACACACACTCACATGCACACACACAAATAAAGAAAGAAATGTCATACAAACTTAAAAGTGATGATTCTCAAAGGAGATTTTTTTTTGGTTGTTATTGTCTTGCCTTTCCCTTTTGCTCAAATACCATCAAGATACAGAGAATATTTGTATGTTATTCATTTTTAATATATGCCAATATAAAGAAAAATAGAAAAGAAGCACTTGAAATTATACAAAGCAATCAGGCAGTTGAGTTCCCAAGGCTAACATCTTAATTAAGCCTCACATACAATCATCTCGGGGGCAGAGCTCACACCTCCAGGGAAAACATCATAAGATGGCAAGGAGAAAAAATAAAAATAAAAAAACTGCAGCAGCCCCAACTATACTGTTCTGTATGCAAAGGGGCTTTTATGGAAACTACAAAGTCTTTCTTTTTTCACTTTAGCCTAATCACCAAGCTATCACAACCAAACATGAGAAAACTTTTCAATTGGCATCATATTGCTTGGGATAATCTATAATCTATGATGATACCAGTATGTAAAGGTAATAACAATAATTAACACCTTATAATCAACATTATTTTAAAAGAACCAACTTATAAAATGAACTACTACTTACCATTATTATCAAATCCATGTGTAAATTCATGTCCCACAATTACTCCTATAGCACCATAAGTCAGGGATCTATGTCATAAATAAACAATTAGAAAAATTACAGGCATGAACTTAATAGCATAATCCTTTAAACTTTAAGTGAAAAGCCAACATTATAAGCTGTTTTCTAGTAATGGTAATAAGAAAAACATCTAACAATCAAACCCATAAAAGTATAAAACAATTTCTCTAAACATTCTCATCTAATCCAAATAAGAAGCATAAATTCTAACATTGTCACTCTGACCTTGTATGGGCCTTAGTGTCCCACTCTGTGAAATGAGGGATGTGAAAGACAAAATTTCGAAAGCTCTTTCCAGTCTTAAGACATCTGTGGTCCTATATCTGTTGCAGTAAAATTTTATATTTGAATACCTAAAATAGGGCTTTCAAATAGTAAATATACTATTTATTTTTTTCCTGAAAACTTACTGCAAAGTCACTATAATCATAGAAGCTAAACTGTTTTCTAAATGTACTCACTAATAGAGTAGGGATTAAAAGGAATCATTCTATTTGGAAGTTAGTCACGTCCTTCTATTTCTGTGGCAGACAAGCTGACAGCTGAATAGCAAAGACTACAGAGACTTAATCAGATTTGGAGAAAGTGTTACATTATTTCTTGTCACTTCTGAAGAAGCATGTGGTAGATTATCTATAAGGAGAGCCACCAGCAACTCCACCTACCCTTAAATGCAAATGTCTTCTCTTCCCCTACAAAGATGTGATCTATTTACTTGCACTTTAATCTAGACTGGCCTTGGGACTTGTGACCAACAGAATACAATGTAAGGAGTCAAGGAAGTAGACCTTAAGATACCTTGCAGTTTTCACCTGCAGTCTTTCTGCAGGTTAGCAATAATATAAAAACTTTTGCTTGCCTGGTTGCAGGGCAATAAGCCTGGTAAAGCAATGGAGAAACTCAAAATTGTGAGGGTCTCTCATAGAAGAAATAACGGCCCTTCTGGGCCCCATCCATTAGAAGAGCAGGAGGAAGTGAGCATATTCTAAGTGATCCAGCCCAGTGGAGCAGGGCTAAACCAAATCGTAGATTTGTGAGCCAGTAAATGATTGTTTGGTAGTAGTGGCAGTTTGAATAGCCTCCATAGATTATTCTGTTTGAATGCTTGACCCATAGGGAATTGCACTATTAGGAGGTAAGGCCTTATTGGAGTAGGTGTGGCCTTGTTGGAGGAAGTGTGTCACTGGGGGGTGGGCTTTGAGGTTTCAGAAGCTCAAGCCAGGCCTAGTAGCTCACTCTCTCTTTTCCTCTTGTCTGCTGATCAAGATGCAGCACCCATGTCTGCCTGCACACTGCAATGCTTCCCAACCATCTAAATGCTTTCTTTTATAAGACTTGACACGGTCATGGTGTCTCTTCACAGCAATAGAACCCTAAGACATTGGTACTTTTATTATACAGCGTAGATAACTGGAGCAAAGTACAAACACAAAAGTTGAGGAAATGAATGAGCTCTCTAGCATAATCTCCCTGAAGACTAAACCCTCACTTTATTCATTCACCACTAAATTCTTCATTCCTAAGACAATAAGAAAACTAACAGTGATTTAATTCATGATTAATTAGCCTTATCATGTCATGTAAAGGACATGTCTCATATGGAAATTATTTAAGCTAAGAAATAAAGAGAAGTTGGAATCATTATTGTGAGATTCATAATTATGCTAAAAATATTTCATAGTTCTTTCCTGACATGCAACATCAAACCATCCAGCAAACAGTTAGACCAAAGCTGGAAAGAACAGAATTTTTTGAAGCAACATGTTTTTACAGGACGTAATGATCCTTAACATGCTAATTGTTTGTCTCAACTGTACCCAAGGAAGTGCTATAAGATTTAATTTTTCCCCTTGGTGGCAATTCTTTCCTTTGTTATTTCTTTCCTGCAAAGTAATTTGCATTTGAAAAAAATGTTTCCTACTGTGTTTCCATCATTGCAAACCTTCATTAAAGAAGTAAAAGTAAAATAATGCATTTCAATCATAGAGCTATCATAGCCTATATGGGACAAACTTGTAATTTCACATGGTGCTAATTTTTGCAGCAGTAGCTAGCATTGTGTGACCTGCAATATTTTGATTTCCCAGATTTCTCACTCCTCCATACCCCTCAGTCAACGCAATTGACTACATATATTTAAAGGATGAGCAATGGAAACATATAGAAATTATTATGCTATAAATGCCCCTTAAGAGGGACTGCCCCAATAAGCTTTTTATTTAAGGGTAATAAGGAATTCAGAAAATGATTGAATCATCGTAAATCTCAATTCTCAGTCACAAAATCACAATCCCTTAGACAGGAGACAAAGAAAAAGTAATTTTGTCCGACTAAACCTTATAATGATAATGTTTTATAATATTACATTGCTAACTTCTATTTTTCAAATGCACATTATTTAAATTAGAATGTCATAAAAACTCGTGTGCCTCTTAGAAGACAACTGGCTTGGCAGAAACTGGAGGGCTTCTGGCATTTAAAATCCCGCTCTCTAATGCAGAAGGTAACAGTTTTACTTTACCACCTATTTAGTTTGTCTTTTCTTATTATCTGAGGGCTTTAACACAAACATGAGATTTGATGTCAATTACAAAGCAATTATACTGCTGTCTGAACTCATTGTGACCTCAGGCTGTTATCAAGTAGGGGCTAACCTTCCCCTGTATCAGAAAATCATAAAAAGCTCTGAGGTGAAAGTAGTTGTAAAATCCTGTTTAATTTGCTACCAGCTACTTAGGAGGCAGAGATAGTAGGATAAAAAGTTAGAGGCCAACCAGGACAACTTAGTAACATCTTATTTCTAATTTTTTTTTATGGTGGGGCATAGGTACACATACTTATTATCCTGGTGCTGCATGTGAGAGACTGATAGAGTATAAACCCTGCTTGGGCTATATGGTGAGCCTGTTTCAAAAAACCCAAACCAACGAAACAAACAGAAAAACAGCTTTTTAAAGTACTAAGACATCTGCTTGATCTTTCCAATGACTATGAGATCATTTCTCTAATTACTTCTTAGGATAGTACCTACTAAAAGGTTTCTTGCCCATGTTTCTCTAATTTTTTTTAACTGAGCTTTTCAACCTATCGGTCCAGTGAAGGTGCTAGCTGAACACTTGCTGACTTCCCTAAACACAGAAACCCATTCTGCCAACTAAATTTCCTTCCAAAAGACAAAACACAACATTCCTATTACCCCATAATTTAAGAGGGAAATGCAAGAAGGTCACAAGTTCAAGGCATGCCTCACTTACATGGAAACCTCCAGACCAGCAACTTTGAGGCTGCCAAAAAATTTGGCAAACCATATTCCAAATATTGCCCAAGTTCCTTTGAAATTTATTTGATTTGATTTGATATGTATGAGTGTTTTGCTTGCATGTATGTCTGTGTGCTATGTGTGTATATGGCATCGGATCCTTCGGACCTGGAGTTACAGAGGGTTGTGAGTACTATGTGGGTGCTGAGAACTGACCCCAGATCCTCTGGAAGAATAATCAGTGTTCTTAACAGCTAAATCATCTCCCAAGAACCCTCTTTCAAGTTCTTAAGTTTCATTCATGAACTAGAGAACAGCATTTCCCAAAAACATACAAAGACTCAACAAGCCTTGATGTTAAACATATCCAAATAAGTTTCTTATAGAACTGAGAAACAAGGATAATGGATGGGATGAGAGGATGACAACAGTTTCAAAACAACACTTTTGGATTGTGTTGTTTAAGGTCATTTACATTCCCGATTTTTTCCTTTGGAAATGATTTGCCTTGTTTCTGTTCTCAAAACTTGACCCAACAGTCACAAGTAGGCCACACTGACCAACCTGAGCAAAAAGATAACTATTCCTTTGGCTCTGGTGACTATCCATCAAGTAAGACAAAACAGATGTCTGTCTGGGAAGCCATCTCACTGAAGTAATTCCTATCATTTTTTATATCCCAACTACAATGCAGTCAAGTGATGCTTAACAGCTATTCATTGAAGTGATATATAAATAGAAATTAGAATAGTGATATGTAAATAGAAATTAGCTCACTCAGATATCAACTATGCCTCAACCTAAGTTAGTACTCGCAGACAATAAGAATTCTTAAGTTTCTGATTTTTATGTTTCTATAAAACTTCCATGCCCATGCACCAAATAAATCACTGAATTAATGATTTCTAAACATAACTAGACTATTTCCACATGTTCAGTTATAGTTATATAACAATCGAAAACGCAGTTAAATTGTGTATGATAAGCAGAATCAAAGAAAGCCAGATATTTTTTCAGTTTGAAAAGGCCTTAGAGAATTAACTTATATTTTTAATTTTATGAATTAAGTGTGTACATTTGTAATCTTAATTATGGTAAAAAAAAATCCAAATGAAAAAAAAAATCCAAATGACTTAATACTGAAGAAAGCTATTCAGCTAAGGAACAGGACGTTATTAATGAATTCGATTAGATACAAACCTAAGATTTTGCATTTACACTAACAATAGTACTTCTCTTCAATAGGCTCTACTGATTTACACAGCATGTCTCAGTGTACTGATCACATTGTTTCTAAAAGCCAACTTAAAACTAGTTGTCTAAGGAGTTTCTCCAGCCATGAGTGATTCCTTCTCATAGGCTGGGCACTGCCAAGGAATTTACATTGGAAGCACCCCTAGGCCTCTGATGGAATGAGACCTATAGGATAAAGAATCCAGCACCCTTATCTGGAAGCATGTTCTATAGTTCCCCAGCAAGACTCATTTCCAATTGTTCATGATGGCAAGCTAGCTTTGTAGCACACATGTGGCAAGTAGAATAATGGCTTCCCCCAAGATGCCCTGATGCTAATTCCTAGAACCTGTGAATGTGTTATATTACATGGTGAAGGAGAATTAAGGTTGAAGATGGAATTAAGTTTACTCACCAGGTGATCTTAAAAGAGAAAGATTACCCTGAATTATCTAGGTGGGCCCAAAGTAACCACAAATATCTTTTAAAAAAAGTGGCAAAAAATGAGATGTCAAATGCAGCCACTCCTGATGGGACCTGATAGACTAGGATCAGATGGAAGGGGAGGAGGACCTCCACTATCAGTGAACTGGGGGAGGTGCATGGGTGGAGAAGTGGGAAGGAAAGTGGGAGTGAGAGGGGAGGAGGGAGTGAGCTACATTTAGCATACAAAGTAAATAAACTGTAATTAATAAAATAAATTTAAATGAGATATCAAAGGAAATGCCACTCTGACCTTTTTAGGTGGGGAAAGATGGCCATGGAGAAAGAAACGTTAGCCCCAGCTACAAGTCAGAACTGCTAAGGACATAATTTATTCCCTAGAACTTCCATAAAAAGGGAATGCAGCCTTGCTAGCACCTTGATTTTAGCCTAGTGAAAGGTGGGTTGGATTACATAAAGAGAGAGTAGTATGCTTGGGTAGTTTTAGTGGTAATTCATATTCACCAGCCATAGAAGACTCATAGGACACAGCATATCATTTTCTTTCCCTTTCTGCTTCACCTTCCTATCTTTTGCTGGGCTTTCCTGGAACCACATTCCAAAAGAACTACTTAAACCCTTATGATAAAGGCAGCTTCTGAGGAAGCCCAATCAAAACACAACCATTATATTTCTCTGATTTTTATATGTATGAGATAGTATCTCATTTAACCTACATAATCATATGGAAGTCATCATATATCCAAGTGCAAATACAAGTGACTCTGCTTCTAATATCGAGATCAAATTTCCCATGCATTAAAGAATCACAACTACATAAAAGCATATAAGAAAGTAATGGTATTATTGACAATGAATATTAGGAGAAATTATGAATTATGGATTAAACACACCTACAATCTATTTGTAAATAGCTGTCCTTAAGTCCAGACCTGAATGTTTAGACCTATGGTATAGCTGTGATAGGTTTATTTTTTATGACATGTTTAACTATCTCACTTAAGAAACTTCAGTATTTTCTGTTCTAAATTCCTCATTTGACATTCAGAACCCTCCAATATCAAACTAAAATCTTTTTTATGACTTCTCTTTATATGCCTTTTGACCAGCCAAGCTAACATCTGTCATTCCATAAAGCACATTTTTTTCTCTGTCTTTGGTTTCTTCACCCAGAAAGGTTTTAGTCCGTTTCCTTCCATCCCAGTGAACTTTCAAATGATTAAATGCATGAAAAATAAAATCCTGTGCAGGCTTGACTTTGCCATCTAGTCAAATACTCTGGTAACAAAGGTCAAAAAACAAATACTTAATAAAAACTAACAAGACCAATAATGCTTTCTGTCTGCTGAACAACCATTGACTTGGAATTGACTGTTTAAGGGATTGCCATGAGTCACAAGACTTTGAACTTTTAAATGCTAGTGAGACTAGAAAAGACTATCAGGACTTTTGAGGTTTGACTGAATGCAGTTTTGGATTATGATATAGCTACAAGCCAGTGAGACCCAGGGAGAAAATGGGGTGGTTTGAGTGAAAATCACCACCATAGGCTCAGAGGCAGTGGCACTATTAAGAGGCATTATGGCCTTGTTGGAGTAAGCATGTGACACTGCAGTGGGCTTTGAGGTTCCATATGCTCAAGCAAGGCCCAGTGTTATTCTCTCTTCCTGCTGTCTGCTGATAGAACTCTCTCATCTACCTCTCCAGCACCACATTGCCTGTGAGCCACCATACTTCCCACCATGGTGATAATGGACTAAACCTCTGAACTGTAAGCCAGTCCCTATTAAATGTTTTCCTTTTTAAGATTTGCCATGATCATGGTGTTCCTTAACAGCACTTAAAACTTTAACCAAGACAGACTATATATTCTGTCCTTGACCAAAGTGACAAGTTCTTCTTTACTAATTTGTCAAGGACTGGTTTCTTTTCTAATTTACTCACCGAGGATATTCTGTTCCCCAAAAGAAAGGCTTCTGCAGCTCGCCAGCAGGAAATCCTGAGAGGATGGCAAGCAAACAAACAAAAAATGTTAAGGGTATGGAAATGATCAATATCCACACTCTGGTTCTAGCTATAGCCAAAGCTTCTAGAAGCTCATCCAAACTGCATTCCTTGTGGATCCACGGTATCTACAAGAGATCTACCTAATGGTGATATTAATTCACCTGAGTTTGAAGTAAGTACATGGAATCATTTCAAAGACAGTTTGTACGGATATGCTATTGGCAGAGTTCAGCCTACTGTGAAATGGGCACCTTCTACAATATGCCCACAAAGATGCAGGATGGCCAGCAGGTTCTCAGATGTACCTAGGTCTCAGCTTCTTAGGTACCCACTGTTGTAGCCACACATGCCATATATAAAGGAATGGTTATACATTTGATAAAATAGTTTACTGTTACTACCTTGAATTTATTTGTAGCTGAATCTTTGAACTTGTATTTTATACGTGAGTTCAAAGGTGACCATGAAACATGTATGTGAAAAGAATAGATGCATATGATATGCACATCAGCTGTTCCTAGGTGCCTTTTGCACACCCAGTACTTATCCTGACCACGAAGTACAGGATTACAGCTGGTTTACACATGAGGAAGTCTACCAAGATACAGCTCAGCTATCATAGTTTCATGCTACTCTGAACTCAACAGTTCTAGAGTGTGATAGCCCCAAGAGGCTACATTGTCCCTGTTAACTAGGATTTGGTTACATTGCTAAAAGAAGTTAATAACATTCTAAGAAATAGAACGATTCGAGTACCCTCTCTCATTGTCTCTCCATATTTCCCTGTACTGCCCAGCCTTTCAAACTGAAACCGGTAATGCAGAAGGAAAGGGAAATAAGGGAATTCTATCATTTCTTTACATTTCAGTCTCTCCTTATTCACCACTAAGGCAAAGGTGAAGAGCATTGATAGATAAGTGATTAAAAAGTAAAAGGATGATAAGAACAGAGAGTACACTTGATCTTATCCAAAAGACCTTGCATGGACTGGACCTAGGACCCTTACATAGATGTAGTGATGGATAGCTGGGTCTTCAGGTGGGTTCCCCAATTAAGAAGAACAGGGGCTTTCTCTGACATGAACTCTCCTGCCAGCTTTTCAATCTCTTCCCCCTGGAGGGACTGCTTTGCCAGGCCACAGGGAAAGAGAACATATTCAGCACTGATAGGACTTAATGAGCTGTGGTGGATAGAAAGGGGGCTCTCCTCTGCTAAGGTATAGGGGAGAGGAATGGGGAGAGAGAGGCAGGGTGGGAATGGGAGTGAGGAGGGATAAGGCTAAAACCAGGATCATATGAAAGAAGGGGGAGTTAGTATGACCTGGAGAGGACAGGAGCTCCACAAGGACCAATTATACCAGGGCACAGGGGTCTTTTATGAGACTGATTCTCCAACCAAGGACCATGTATGGATATAACCTAGAACCCCTGCTTGAATATAGCCCATGGTAGCTCAGTGTCCAAGTGGGTACCCTAGTAAGAGGAACAGGGACTGTTCTGACATGAACTCAATGGCGGGCTCTTTGACACACACACACCCCTCGGAGGGAGGAGCAGCCTTGCCAGGCCACAGAGGAGGACATTGCAGCCAGTCCTGAAGATACATGATGATCTAGGGTCAGATGGAAGAGGAGGACCTCCCCTATCAGTGGACTTGGAAAGGGACAGGGAGGAGATGAGGAAGGGAGGGTGGGATTGGGAGGGAATGAGGGAGGGTGCTACAGCTGGGATACAAAGTAAATAACCTGTGATTAATATAAAAAAAATAAAAACTATGAAAAAAGGAAAAGGCTGAGGATAGTAGAGCACTTGTATTGTGTTTTGGAGGCCAGCACTAGCACTGCCAAACAAAGAGTAAAATTTTTATTATTAGTAATAGCAGCAACAACAGTAGTATAAAAATAGCTGAATTAATTATATCCAGCATTTCTACACTGCTAGTGAGAACATTCTATATATGCATGTATGTACTGCTAAAAAAATACAAAGGGTGTCATTTTTGAAATTCCATACACAAGTCAAACTGCTTCTATTCACATTTAAGACTTGCGTTATAGCATAAAAAGATGAATGGCAAAACTCGTGCTAATGACATAAAATTTTAGTTTTCATAATAACAGCAGTCAATGGCAGATAAAAACACTGCTGATCTATACCACTGCTAGGTATATACCCAAAGTTTGCTCAAGTACACAAAAGGGATATTTGCTCAACCATGTTTATAGCAGCTTCATTTGGAATAGCCAGAACCTGGAAACAACCCAGATGTCCATCAACGGAGGAATGGGTACAGAAATTGTGGTATTTTTACACAATGGAATACTACTCAGCAATCAAAAAGGAGGAAATCATGAAATTTGCAGGCAAATGGTGGGATCTAGAAAAGATCATCCTGAGTGAAATATCTCAGAAGGAGAAAGACAAACACGGTATATACTCACTTATATAGACCTATAAGATATGATAAACATAATGAAATCTATACACCTAAAAAAGATAATCAAGAGAGCAGACATGGGGTAAGATGATTCAATCCTCGTTTAGAAAGACCGATGGGATGCGCATTGAACATATGACAGGAGTCTACTGAGTGCATTTGAAAGACTCTAAGTAGCAGTGTTTTCAAAGCAAAGACTCATGACCAAACCTTTGGCAGAGTACAGGGAATCATAAGAAAGAAGGGGAGTTAGTCTGATGAGGAAAGGATAGGAGCTCCACAAGGACCAAATATATCTGGGCACAGGGTCTTTTCTGAGACTGACATGCAACCAAGGACCATGTATGAATATAACCTAGAACCTCTGCTCAGATGTAGCCTGTGGTAGCTCAGTAACCAATTGGTTTCCCATAGTGAGGGGAACAAGGACTATTTCTAACAGGAACTCAATGACTGGCTCTTTGGCCTCCCCACCCCCCAAGGAAGGAGCAGTCCTGTTAGGCCACAGAGGGGAGCTTTGCAGCCAGTCCTGAAGATACCTGATAAAACAGGATCAGATGAATGGGGAGGAGGTCCCCCCTATCAGTGGACTTGGCAAGGGGCACGGTGGAGATGAGGGAGGGAGGGAGGGACTGGGAGGGAATGAGGGATCGGGACACGGCTGGGATACAGAGTTAATAAAATGTAACTGATAAGAAAAAAATAAAATTCAAAAAAAAATACTGCTGATAAGTCAAAAGAGATGATGCTTTACACTTTAGCGCTTGTGATGGCATTTGTTCTGCTTCCTACACAAGAGGTCTTGCATCTTCAGTTTACAGGGAACCCTATGAATTAGTTATCTGGCCTTGGCTATAAGTGAATGCAAGAAACACCTGGATTTGCTCCAAGTCACCACTAAATTGTGTACTCTGTGCTGATCCTGAGCATTGTGCTCAACAGTCATTACAGCTGAAAATTCATAGCAGGAGAGAGAGGACAGGAGTGGGGAAAAAGGAAAGGGGGGAAGGGACTTTCCGCAGTGCCCTTGTACTCTTGAGAGCAGCCGCTCTAGGCCCCATGAGACTGAATGTTCTTTTATGAATGAAAATGTTCCTCTAGTCTCTGCTCAACTTTCTATCTCCCCTCTATGTCAGGACACCTCAAAGGGAAATGAAGGCAGGAAAGCACAACTTGAATTTAGAGACGAAGTACTCATTTCATAAGACTCTCAAATTCTGTGTCTTTTACTAATAATATCAGAGTTTGAGATTTCAAGATACAAAAACCTAATTGCAAAACAGAGATGGGTCCAGTTAATGCTTCCCTGTTCCTGTTGCTTTCAAATAAAGGAAAACATATCTAATATGATTGAATTTCAAGGGTCAATAATTACTTTAATCTTTGTAATTTCTATATTTCCTTAAACACCTTTGGAATCTTTACACTGATAAGCCATCTTTTGTTATTTGATTATAGTAAACCATTCATATATATATATATATATATATATATATATATATATATATATAATATGAATGCAAATCACAGTGTTTATATGAAAATTCCATTTCACACAATAAATCACCCCAAAGCAATGGTATTTGCTAATAAGAACAATGATCATAAGCCAATGTAATTTAATTTTTCAATCATTATGGCTTCCCTGCTTGGTAATGTGCCCAGGTGGAAACAGTTATGTTTACTGCCAACCTCAGAAAAACATTTGACACCTGCATAAGCCTCCACTGCTGCAGCTTTTGCTTTTTTAGGGGTCCCAGACTCCAGTTCTGAAGCCATCACATCACCCTGATCAGCTATATCTTCTCAGCTTGTCAGGGCCTTGAAACCCAATAGTGATAAACTGAAGAATCTGATGCCCTTAGGCATGTTTTGCTGAAGTGAATGGATTAATAGTGTAAGCTGCATTTTCAGAGATGTCACCTGACAAGAGTGATAGATGGAAATCCCAGCAAGGTCAATTCAGTATCTTATCTCATAAAGTGGATAAGTTGTATTAACAAAGGTGGAAGTGAGAAATAAATAAATGGAAAGGAATTCTTTTTTTTTTCTCTCTTTTTAATAGGTGTCTGTTATGTTTTCTCACAAACTCATTTTATTTTAGTGTTTCCCCACTTCAGAATCATTCATCACTTGTTCAGCCTTTTGAAGCTTCCCTTTTTGTCAGTATATATACGGGAAGCATTCTTGACTGTGTCTGTCTGTCTGTCTGTCTGTCCCTGTTCGTGAAAGAGAGATTGAGAAAGAGCTGGGGGGGGGGGATTTAACTATTGAGTTGGCAAAAATTAATGAATTTGTAACAAGGTTGGTAGGAGGATAAGTTATGGCAAGCATTTTTTAAAGGACTAAATCTCTGTGTGATGATATGAGAGAAGCTCCAAGGGATAATAAACTAAGTAGAAACATGACATTTCGTGCAGTTCACTGAGTTTCTGTGTAATATGTGTATGGATAGGTGCGTGCACATATGTATTCAATTCTACCATAACAGACTGTTCTATTATATAAAAGAAAAGGCAATTTTCTTCCAACACAATAAACATAATGGGGAAAGTG